CACTTGTCTGTTATATCTGATGTTGCTCTACCTGTCTGGACCGAATTGAACGGATGTCATCTCGTCGTAAAATCCTGCCACGGGTTCGGGAGTCTTGTCACCAGTGATGGAATCAATTCATTATAGATTTCTGCTAGATTATCGTAAAATAACAGAAACGGAATTACAACGGTAGCATTATTCCAAAAATAACACTCGTGTAAGATTAAAGAGATTGCGCATTGACCATTAGTGGCAATGATAGGGAGACAATCGACGAAAATGTCTGGGGGAATCAAAGGTTTGATTATCTCACGGAACCACAGACAAATTACAGTGGTATCATCACCAGTGGAAACCCAAACAAATGCATCTACTCCAGGCAGACAAATGCATACAAACAGACTCTATGCAAAAATAGCCATTGCGCTATCGGTACATCATTCTGAGATACAAAACTACACCACAGATTAATTTGTCCTTCAAATGGTTATGTGTCGGTCAAGTTACATGTACCAACATGTCAGCATAATTATAATCCTAACTCGAATTCAATATAATTATGTTAAAAATATGACCAAAAGAAAGGAGAATGGAGAATAAGACCAGGGCCCGTATTCATGAAACCGTTCTCATGCTCAAGCATGAATTTTGTGCTCAAGCCTTGCTTTGTTTAAGTTAAAAATTATTAAATAAGGCATGATTCAGAGTACTAAATTCATACCTAGAGTTCCGAGTACAGACAGGGAAACGTGATTCAGGGTACTAGATTCATACGTTGAGTTCCGAGTACAGACAGAGAAACGTGATTCAGGGTACTAAATTCATACGTTGAGTTCCGAGTACAGACAGAGAAACGTGATTCAGGGTACTAAATTCATACCTTGAGTTCCGAGTACAGACAGAGAGACATGATTCAGGGTACTAAATTCATACGTTGAGTTCCGAGTACAGACAGAGAAACGTGATTCAGGGTACTAAATTCATACGTTGAGTTCCGAGTACAGACAGAGAAACGTGATTCAGGGTACTAAATTCATACGTTGAGTTCCGAGTACAGACAGAGAAACGTGATTCAGGGTACTAAATTCATACGTTGAGTTCCGAGTACAGACAGAGAGACATGATTCTGGGTACAGGATTAGTTCATGTGTCACACTGCAGTTAATGATTAATGCATAAATTGCAGGGGAAAACATATATAGATAACATATAACATACAAGTATTCCACTGTCATTATACAAATGTATAGATTGCCACGGATGTGGGAGATAGAGTTGTGATCAAGCATAAATTAAGGAACTGTTATAGAATCGTAGCCTTGAGACCAATAGTCGATCGCTTAGAAGCCACAGTAATGCTCGGTGTTTTGAAATGTTTGTTGAAGTTAACCAGAGTTTACCTGAACATTTTTCAAACAATATATGAATAGTTATGATATTGTGTTCCTCAGCAATGAAGACCCAAATTACATTTGCCACATTTAGAGCAGATAAAACGATCAAAATGTTAAATGACTATTGGTTAAACACTGCCAGGGGAGATCCCTGAATATTTGCCCCTTTCTGAAATATTTCAAAATATAATAATTCTCCTTGTCACAACAAATTGAATGGGGCTGCGATACCGCAGTTGGTTAAAACGCAAAATGTATGCCTCCGTCATCTCTGGTGCGTAGTTCTTGACGCTACCTACCCGTTGGGGGTTTGTGTTTCCCGGGAAGATGAAAAAACGGACCGGTCTGTGCTAAGGTGGTGGAGTCCGTAGGCGAGATGTAGTTAAACTTCTTTGTGTTGTTAAATTGGGAAGCCGGCTTCTACAGGGAAATGTCGCCTCAAAGTGGTCTTTGCTGTTCACAGGAGGACAAACCCAGCAAACAAAAAGACGGCCATATTGAATTTGGAAAACAGTTTATATGTAACTAGAGCTGGTGAAATGCTTGTAAGGAACACTGTCTTACCGATTGTGTTCATTCTAGATTTGATGATGACCTCGATTATTGGATAACAGCTCATCAGTGTGTCATGTCAGGTGCAAACACTGTACAGCAATGGCGAAACTGCATGGTATAAGCTGGTAATAAAAATCATTGGTTCAAATGGAAGTGCAGAAGATGTTTACTATGAACGGAAGGAAACCGGAGTGTCCGATGAAAACCAAAACGTTCGGAAAGGGGACATTGTCATCGCGAAGAATCACACCCCGATCGCCTGGGGGGAACATGAATACCTTTTCAGAGCACTATCAGACAACCAGACACAATTAGTTTTCTGAAGTCACAGGTGTATAGCTGTGGCTGCTGTTATCTGATACATATGTATACATCAGGTAAGTCTTCACGAGACCGACAGGGTAGTACGGACATATGGCCCCTAACAGTTATCGATTTATCATATTTGTTTTAGAAGACAACTTTCTATGCAATAACTCCTGTCAACTAAACACATGGCACCGTTATTCGGAAATTACATCCAAAAAACAGCAGCTAGACTGGGAAGGATAACCATATATAGCTGATGTGTTGTTTTCTTTTCTTAGATATACATGTACACGTATTTACAAGTTAAAGAATGCAGAAAATACACAAATTAAGAATACAGAAGTGCCAGTTAATGAAATAAACTGCCTCATACTGCTGTTTCGTCTTCAAGAACTCGTTAGTGATGTTTAGGGGCTTGAGTTTGAAACCCTGGGGGCGACCTATGGGGAAAACTAAAATTAAGCGAAAAGAATGTTGAAATTTATATTGGAAGGTGCACTAGCCCCATACTTCCGTTAATTTTTTTTCACATATCTGATAATGTCACAAGGTACATAACTCCAGATGGATGATTTGAAGATTGTACAAAAGATGAACAAGTGAATAACGCTCTTAACTAGAAATTTAGAGCTAAATACGGCAGAGCCAAATTATTTAACCTGCATCATACATTTGTTTGGTAATGGCTCGTCAGTTATGCTAAGGGCCTTAATTGTGAAGCAACGGAGAAAAATGCAATGCAATTGATAGAAAAGTCAAAGTTATTTGTGTCATTTTTCATGGACAAAAATGTTTGTGGTTAAAAATGTGTATAGATCCAATCTATTATACATCATATTAAAGTTATTTTTCGGAGAGTTTTTTAATTACTAAGATATGTACATAGTCTAAACACGTCTGTCGTTACAGTATCAATGTTACAGACTCTTTATATTATATATAATTCATACACAAACTGTGTGAATCTGTAAATTTTATATCTGGCATGTGTGAAATCCTTCGTAATCATTACAGGCAAGAAGGGTTTTGTTGGGGTATGTATTAGCTGGTCAGATCAGAGCTGGTGACCAATAATGACCACTTGTCTATGTCTGAATAATTCCAGACTATTGACCAGCAGAGTAAATATTCATTAGCAAACTTTTTTTTGTTGTTATTAAAGATGTCTGGTGTATCTGTTTTGTCCTTGAACTGCGTCGTGGAGACGTATCGTCGGAAATAGAGGTAGGAGCGATGGAGTTGTCCTTGGTATTCCAAGTAAAGACAATGGGGATATATGTTTTAACCTTGGAAGAAACACACACACACACACACACACACACACACACACACACACACACACACACACACACACACACACACACACACACACACACACACACACACACACACACACACACACACACACACACACACACACCCTTACACGTATTTGATACAAAGTCAGGACCTGGCTCCCAAAGGTAAACCAAGGGCACTCACATATAATGGTATTATCACAGTAATTAATGACTGCAAACAACGGGCTTGGAAGGTATACTCACCACGTAATTTTCATTTAACCTAAGTAATTTAAATGCTTCGTTATTATCATTTGAAAATGAATGAAAAGAGAGGACATTTGCGACAAAGGGAGGACAAATGTGTCTTAGATACAAAACGAGGACGCGTGTGTGTACATACGGAGGACGCGTGTGTGTACATACAAAGGACGTGTGTTTACATACAGAGGACGTGTGTTTACATACAGAGGACGTGTGTTACCTCCAAAGAGAGGACGTGTGTGTACATACAGAGGACGTGTGTGAACATACAGAGGACGTCAGATACCTCCAAAGAGAGGACGTGTGTGAACATACAGAGGACGTGTGTGAACATACAGAGGACGTGTGTGAACATACAGAGGACGTCAGACACCTCCAAAGAGAGGACGTGTGTAACCTCCAAAAAGAGGACGTGTGTGAACATACAGAGGACGTGTGTGTACATACAGAGGACGTGTGTGAACATACAGAGGACGTCAGACACCTCCAAAGAGAGGACGTGTGTAACCTCCAAAAAGAGGACGTGACTGTACATACATGTCCTATACATATATATGTATTACTTGGCTAATACGTTCATATTGACTATCCATAGAAAAAGATACATCGGTTAATATCCGTTTTCTATGCAGTCAATCGCCTTTGTTAATGTTTTCTTCTAGCAAATAGAACAGCATTTTGACAAAGTAAAAAGTTCATAATTCTTTTACTATATAGAAGAGGTCCATGGGCCTTAATGGTCACCTGAGTTCTGATGTATTTATACATATAACTGATATTTTGTTTTCATAATAAGAGATATCAAACAGGCTTCTAACCAGAGACCTAGTTATATAACCATGGTGATATAGGTCTCTGCTCTAACCCAGCGACCAGGGGCGGATTTTTTCTTACCTTTGCCCAGTGACTTTGACCTTTTGTCATTTTACTTCTCGTTTGATTCCAGTCAATTTTGCTTCATCATGTGAAAACAAAACATTTATCAGTGACTAGATACCACATTTGACCTTGACCTTTCCCCCAGTGACATTGACCTTTGGTAAATTGGCTCCAAGTTTAGTTCTCACCAACTTTGCTCCATGTTATAATCAAATGTTTATCAGTGAAAAGATATCAAATAGTAAATTCAATCTTTCATTCGGTTTGATCCTTTGTCCCTGTTATCAGCCCCTAGGGGCAATATTGTATTAAGTAACACAAAAGGCGAGATAAATCATTGAGGTTTATTTTTTATTATTTCTTTCAAATCGAACACAAGCACCACAAACAGATGCAATATACAATGTAACTTGTCTAAACCGGATGTCACCAGGACCAAACTTTTTGGCCGGTTTACCCAGGTGTCCGGTTCGTAGAGGTCAACATTGCTTACATTTTCCAGTGCTGGGACCAAACATTTTGGCTGGAATACAGAGAGATCCGGATTACACAGGGGCCGGTTTAGACAAGTTACACTGTATTACCATCTGACAAAGATAAGAACAAAACATGTCAAAAATTGGGGGAAAAATGAAATTATTTCCGTAAATTGAATCCGTCTCATTATTAGGACAACAAAAACAAAAGTCATTATGATCCAACATAATTTCTATTCTAAAGTGGATTCCAAAAGCATTTTTTAAACTGTCATTGAATAACAACTTTATATCTCAGCAACAAAAGGTGAAACACTACGTCTGACATTTCATTTGCCATGACAATGCATGTCTTGTGTTTAGACCCTTGTGCAATACAAAGTAATCAAATTTTACCTCAGTTTGAATTTATTTGGCAATGTAAAGTAACGCCAAAGTCATTTTTTTTTTCAATCAAACTATCAATGATTACTTGTTTACTCAATAGCTTAAAAAAATACATGAGGAATAAAACATGCAAATGAAATGTTCAATATAAGTGAACTTTATTCCTGCATTAAGCATCAATGAACAGAATTTAACACATTGTGTGACCTTCTGCCACTTTTAAAATAAAAAAAAAGTGACGTATCTGATACAGTAATGTTATAGAGAACAAGAATAATCATTACCAGTAAGTTTGATCACAGTCAAACTTGTACACTGCAATATGTAAAGGATGACAAAGCATGAAATATACAGTTTTCTTCTCAAATTTCATTCCATTACAAATATTTTTAATGCAACTAGTGTAGAAGGTAAATATCAACAAAATGGTATTTCATCTTAACACTAAATAATGCATCTTCTAAATTTCATTTATAAATCCCCTTGACCGAATTGAGTCTGCCAAAACAACAATTATCCTTTATCAATCCATCATGCAATCTCTACCTTACAATTATTATCATGATAAAACTTCAATAAAAAGAATATTCAAAAATTCTTACAAAATTTCATTTTAATTGCAATGAATCTCATTTATATTTTCCAACATGTAACTTGAAATTGCTTTTCTTTTTATGTCTATATTGCCTACTTAGACATCATTTAATGACATTTCTTTAAACTTTGAATGCAATTGTAGACAAAGTTTTTGATGTTTTTCCAATTTCTTCTACTCAGACATTGATATTTGCGTAAACAGTTGTCACAGTCCAGTTTTCCTGGAGTTTTCCTGATATGAAGAAAATGCTCCATTTCTGATTTAACAGCACTTCTCTCTTCTTCTGTCCATGGTATTCTCTTTACAGTTCTCCTACTTCCTATTAAAGAAACAAGATAAACTATACAGGATTATTTTGTGAACTGCTCTTAAAACCCTTTTCAGTATAAATTACAAACTTTTTTTGTTACTTCTATCTTTAAATCCAATTACATGTATGTACCACAGACACTTATGGTCCAGATATAATATGATATACAGATACACAAGTTATATTTTACTGTGACAATCATTTATTCTATAAACTATAAACTTTATTTATTTTACAACAATTATGAAACAAGTTATACAACTTATATTAATCACTCTTGTTGGCCCAGGTGTTAGCGCGCGAGGGGTCTTTGTGTGGAAGGAAACCAGAGAACCCGGAGGAAACCCACGTGGTCGGGCAGGTGACCCCATACCTTTTCACGTCCGATCGGGGAATCGAACCCCGGCCGCCTTGGTGAAAGGCAAGTGCGCTATCCACTGCACCACCCGACCACCCTATTTTATTCTATATGATGTATAAACATAAAAAAATACCTGGTTTCTGTGTCATGCAAGTGGCTTCTGTACTGTGGAGAGATTTTCTGCTATTTCTCTTTCCTGCTTTCTCATTATCTTGATCTGCATCATCTGCGGGGAAAAAATGATGGGACATTTACATCTTTACTGATGTTTGAAGGCTTTCCTACAATACATTTACTAAAAGCTCATTCACAGGTATATTCTGCCAAAGTCACGAGATGAAGACAGGTTCTGCCAACTGGCCAAGACATAAAAGATCTACAACATGGCATTTACAGTGGACCCTCGAAAATCCAGACGCTTTCATTTCCAGCCTAAATCGTCCGGATTACGAGTTTTCCGGACTGCCGAATTTATGTACAAATAACATTAAAGAAATCTGTTCCCAAACATTTTGTCTGGATTGTGAGTTTTCCGGATTTTAGGCGTTTGGATTATCGTGGGTCCACTGTATTTCAATTCATGCATGTTATTTACCTTGATCTCTGACTTCTGTAGACTGTGTAGTTTCATCCTCAGATTCGGATTCATCAGACACTGTAACAAGGACAAATTAAATGATTTAATTGTACAATTGTATTCAAAATAACTATTTAACATAAGAATGAAATACCAACTGTTTCTGTAATGAAACTATTGAAACAATATTAGATATCCTTACTAACTACATTGGTCATGGCAGATGCCAAAAGATATTATCAATGTGACCTTTCATGAAAGCAGTTTGAACTTTTTGAGTACAGAACATGATATATAAAAATTCTAAAAGCATCATTACCACCGTAATAAACCTATTAAAGAACTCAATGATACACTATAATTATATGTCTTATTTATTTTTACCTTCTTGGTCAATGCTAATATCTAAAGACTTTCCAGAAAACTTTCCCAATGTTCCTTTGTTTGCTGCCATAAGTAATTTTCCCACTTTAGCAATTTGAATAGTATCCTCAGGGAGACGATACAAATTTCTATGGACCTTCACATCGTGTCCAAGGAACTGAGCTAAAATGTCTAGTTCATTGTCCCTCAAGTTAACAACTTGCGAAAGTGTTGCAACATGTTTTCTTAAATTTGTAGACCTCATATTTTCTGGATTTTCTAACTTTGCTTCCGATGCTGTACTTCTCATGCAGTCAGCTCCGCGTACATAGCCTATTGCGTTGTTAGCGAACACATATGGGTTTCCCTTTTCTATTCCAGCTGCTGATCGGTATTGTATGAGAAGATCCAGTGCTTCCTCTGTTTTTTTGGGGAACAAAATTGGCACCTTTCTTCCCCGCTTTCCACGAGTTTCCACTCTTGACAAATTCTCCACAAGATGTTTTTCCAAATTGTTATGGGTTTCCTTCACGTCTGGCATGAGGTCAGTTTTGCTTTTGAGACTGAAAACATCCAAGGACAACCTCTCCACTTCACCACTCCTTCTTCTGTTGAACAGTATGATGCTAACTAAAATAGCTTCACACAATGGCCTCCAACCTTGGGCGTTTTTTGATTCCAGAAGTTTTATGTTGGCATCAATTTGCTGGTCCAAGTACTTTTGGAACTTCACTACATCATTTGTGAGTGGAAGCAATGAAGGCTTGTTCCACTTCTTTGTTTCTAGACTTTTTAATGCTGTGGAAGAAACTTCAGTATTCCAATCCATAGAATACAGTCTCTGAAACCTTTCCACATTATCCTGTACCTTAGAATCACCCTCTACCAGAGCTTTTGATAATCTGATATTGGCACATTTGCTCAATGAAAATCCAATTTTCAAAGCTAAAGATGGGATATCCGCTTTTGTGCCACATTTAACTCCACATAATGATCTCACAGCTTTGACACAGGTCTCAAACTTGTTTGCTTGGATGCAATCTGATAATGTAACTATATCTTCATCTTCCTCTCGTGCCTTCAGTAGAAAACGAGACAGTTCCCTCATTTTTGTTCGGATGTATTGATGCATGTGGGGCAAAGCTTTATGTTTTTTGTAAAGCTTTTCCCCAAACAGAATGATTAACTCGTCATTTCTTGCACACAGTGAAATGTTATCCACACTCATGTCGGCGACGACATCCTTCTGAAAATCTGAACCAGCCTTTTCTGAAGCAGTTGATGGCAGAAGAAAAGCACTATTACTTTGGTGTCTTGTCCCTTTAACAAGTTTTTCCTCACGGAAGGTACACTTGCTGACATGCCGATATAGATCATGCTTTAGGTAAAATCCAAGGCAATGTCTACATCGCAAATAATCATCACTGCTTCTTGACTTACTTAAACTTTTCTTTGGTACAACCTCTCCTTGTCCAGATTTCAGAACTTCTATGTTATGGTTATAGTTACCGGCTTTTCTCAGCTTGTCAATCAGAGTAGCTCTTGCACTTTTTTGTTCTTTACTACGCCTGTCTAGTGAACGCAATTTTATTACATCAATTTCATCTTTATGCTGAGTTTCCAAATGTCGAGGAAGTTTTGCAAAAGGCTTGTTACAATATAGGCAGTAGTGTTTTTTATCCCAAATTTTTTTCCTGTTTTTATTCTGAGAAAACAGTTTAACTGTAACTCCATCTTTTTGGATATTTTCTTCAGTCTGATTCAAAGCCTTGGGATCCAAGATTGGGATTTCACTTGAGTCATCTGATCTGGCTGAGTTGTCAATAACTCTGTAAAAATTAACTAAAAGCTAGAAATATGTCTGGACGACATCATTAGTAACTGATGGGAATGCAAGAGATATATCTGGTTGTACTGTCATAGGTTAGAATTTTTTCATTTCAATTTCAGATACTCTGTAAGACAACCTCTACCTCTCTAGATCATTTACCAAATGATATGAAATATTGCATAAAACAATTGATTTTTACCTATAGCTAACTACATATTAAAGTATGGCATGGATTGATTGATTTCCGGTGTTAATCAACAGCTCATAGAAGTATTGTAAATAAATTGTTTCCACCTTTAAAAAATTCAAATAAAGAACTTTTAAAGTACTATACAAGTGTAGTTAAATGAAAATACTGCCAGACTAGATCCAACCAGGATATAATTTTCTTCCAATGAATATATAATACTAAAAAACATTTTGTACTAAAAACTGGCAAGTGATACAAGCATTTTTTTTTTGAAAACGGTCCATGTTATAGATGGAAAAGGACCGTTTATGTTATAACTAGAACTGTCATCATGAAGATAGCTAAAACCCCTGCAGATGCAAAGAATTTATACATGCATTGTTTTAGCCACGGAGTCTGACAAGTGATTCCAGTATATATGCCCCATACACTGTTTCAGGTGTTAAAATCAGAAAAAGAACTGCATTGCCATGTTCCTCACAGACAATACCTTTGACTCAATTTTCACAAAAATTCCAACAATATCTAAATTTGACAAATCAGAAGCCTCCCTCGAAGGCCATATTTTCACATTAGAAAATGGACTTCATCTTTGTGTTCCTGATGAAAGACAATACCTATATACCAATTTCCGTGAAAATCTGATACTATTTCATTTTCGTCCAAACAAAAGCCTAAATCATGTTTTAATAGTAATGGTACTGGAATAAGTTGCACCATTTGACCAAGTTTCAATAAAAATGACCACAGGGTTGATGAGTTATGGCTATTTCACAAAAACCTGTGTATAGTGACCTGGTTACCATGGCAACTATAATTTCACAAAATGAACTTCACCTTGGTGTTTCTCATGTCGAACAACACCTGTATACCAATTTTTCATTATCAATCAACCATAGTCCCAATCATGTTTCCATAGAAACGGTACTGGAACACCTATGAATGATATTTATAGGCATTAATAGGTTACACGATTTGCTAAGTTTCAATTATTATGATCCTATCTTTAATCCAGAGACTGTTTGATTAAATTTTGTATGTGTCTTTGTGGAAATAATAATTGAGCAAAATGTAAAGGGGCCTAACTTTCATAAAAATGGTTGGGAAGATGAAAAATAACATCAAGAAGCACACCTTCAACTTTAACTCTAACAGCCTATTAAGTTTAAAGGATTTTGAATGAAAATTGTAGGAAGAGTTGAGTGGGCAAGGTCTGTCTGCAGACAGATGGGGGGATGGATGGACAAGCTGTTTCCAAATTAACCCCCAAACTCCGTTGCAGAGATATAAAAATACTTTCAAAGCTTATCTTGTTTTTAATCATTTACTGGGAAAAAAGTTAGTGTAATCATGCACACCATATAACTCACTTGGACTCAGTACTTGCTTCTGGTACTAAAATAATTAATAATAATACGCAACAGGAATCTACACTACGGAAGTACACCGAGGACAAACAGAAAAATAATAAGTAAATAAATAAATGAAATAAAATAAATTACAGTAATAATGTAATACAAGAGGCCCAGAGGGAATGTACTGCTCACCTGGATCTTTATGACCAAGAGTTCTAGGCATAAGTTGTCCCCCCCACCTCCAATGTCAGCTTGACAATTTGTACATTTTTGAATCCCAAACTCTTGACAATGCTTCCTGCCAAATATGACCCACAGCATTTATTTAGTTTCAGAGAAGAAGATACTTAAAGTAATAATGCCAAAGTACCCCATTTAGGCCCGCCCCTCAGTCCCATGGGGGGCAACCACTTCATTTGTAAATTTTTGAATTCTCGACTCTGAGGATGCTTCATCCAGCGAAATATGATTGATAGTCATTATTTAGTTTCAGAGAAGAAGATGCTTAAAGCTATATGGCCAAATTTCCCATTTTGGGCTCTGCCCCTCAGGCCCCTGGGGGGTCAGCCACTTCATTTGTACATTTTTGAATCCCCACCAGCCAAGGATACTTGCAGCCAAATTTGACCAAATTCCACCCAGTAGTTTATAAGAAGTCAATTAAAGAAATTGTTGACGGACACCACGGACCAGGTGAGCTAAAAATGGTGCAAGTTACATATTAAATGGTATTGTCATTGGAAGACATCTTTTGTGAAATACATCAGTATACAGTTAAATTATTTCATTTTTTTTTTTTTTTTGCTATTTTTATGATTTAATGATTTTGAACATTAACACATGTATAAATATCTTTTCGTAAATTTTATATTAAACAGTACTCATACAAGAATTCCACGAAAGTTGATGTGTCGCCTGCAAAGCAAGCAGAAACCCATTTTCTATTTATAGTAAGAGTGACCTTGACCTTTGACCCTCGACCCTGAAAAGCAATCTCAGGCAAGCACTTTTGATAAGGAAGTATTGTGTGAAGTTTGACTTTATTTGGCACAGAGGAACTCAAGTTATCGCACAGAAAAAAAAATCTATTTTTAACAATAGTGACCTTGACCTGTTACCATCGACCCTGAAAAGCAACCCTAGGCAAGCTCTATTGGTAAGGAAGCATTGTGTGACGTTTGAGTTTGATCGGTCCAAGATAACTCAAGTTATCACACAGAAACCATAGGGTGGATGATACCGCCAACGCCGACATAGCAATACTTACCTGTCACCTGCTAAAGCAGGCGACATAAAAACTGAATGCAATAGAAATTTTTGATTTGGGAAACAAGGTTGCGTCTTTTAACCTAACTAGGAGAAGCTAATGAAGAATACCATGTTATGAATACCTACTCTTCATCTGTGTCGGTATCAGATGGCTCATATAACGGATCAGCAGATTCACAATCTTGCAAAGATGGTGACGATGAACCCTCAATGTATGTCCAAGTTTAAATTTTATCTGATATACCAAAACCATGTTATATAGGTTAAAAAAAAAAAAAAATATAGGTTAAAAAAAAAAAGTAAAAAAAAAAAGTAAAATGTTACCTGTCTAAAAACATCCTTTGCAAAAATAAGAAAATCAAGATTTATATACTATAAGATGCATCCAAATTAATCACTGAAATTAAAACCACAAAACAGGAAGATTTAGCTAACAACTTGAACCTACCTTCTTTCATTAGTACATGGGTAACAGATGATGAGAAGGAGTCAAGGTATCTGCATTTCCTAAATCCTGATGCAATGGCCACTCTTCTGAATTTCTTTTTGATTTCCTATTTAAACATACAATAATTAGATGTATATGATCAGTGAAGTTATACCGACTGTGCTGAAGACAAGTAATATGTTAATTTTTTGAGGCAGTCTGCCCCTCTGTCAAGATACAAATAAGTTGTAGATAATCACATCACAAGTACAGACATTTAACACAAAGCCCTAACATATGTATAGATTTAAATCTAGATGGGCTAAAGGCATTTACCCTTCGGCCGATGGAACATAGAAAGACCCTATTTAGTTAGTTAGAAAACCATCCAGAGGTAGTACTGAAGCCAAGAGTTTGGATGAAAAAAGTAAAAATTACATGAAAGCAGGTCAGATGAAAAGTGGGTATTAAGGAATGAACAAATGATAAATATTTTAATACTGACATGAACATATAAAAAGTCTACAGTCCAACCCACACTTTCTGTTATCTATGGCATGGAATAACTTTGTTGTGTACTGAAAACACACATTGTCCACTCACATACTTAACATACCTCAGTAATTCGAAATCCAGACAGAACATAAAAGCAAGCTCTAGAAATTGGAGTGAATTCATCACAAATGCTTGCAACTGCATCTCTGGGTAGATTTAATGTTCTATCATGGTTATTGTCACCTGATATGGGAGCTCTCACATCTTCACCATCTGGTAACTTAAACTCAGGATTGTGTGTAGTTACTGAAAATATAATATACACACCAGGTAAAGTGGCAATACAGAAGGTAACTTTGTATCAGACAGATGAACATTTTTTCCCTGTTTCAATTCTCCACATGTATACAGCCAATCATGATAATACTCATAAATAAATAAATATTACTTTATTTACTTACTGAAAACACTGCAAAAGGATAAAAAATCTTTGTTCCTGATACTTACTGGGATACATATTTATTATTTGTTCATCAGAGGTCTTTAGAACCCTATTTTCATCCTCCTCCTGTGTCACAAGAGAAATAAAGACATAACAAAAAAAAAAAAAAAGTGTAACATATATATAATTTATACTTACAAAGGTCAGTATCTGGTTTGCTGGCATCAGTTGCAGATGCAGGGATGTTGACCATTGACACAGAAATGTCAGATGATGGTTCATTGGAACTGTATGTAGCAGTAACATCAGTTTCCATCATAACTACTTGTACATTTGTCGTTGAAACTGGGGTGTTATCAATGCCATCATCCAGGGTAGCAACTGTATCTCTTGGTAGATTTGATGGTTTGTCATGCTTGTCAACCGATGAGGGAGCCATCACATCTTCATCAGTTACATCTGGTAACATACATTCAGGACTGTGTGTAGTTACTGAAAATGTAATATATACACATCAGGTAAAGTGATAATACAGGAATGTGTTTCAAATACAAACTTTGTGACAGAAAGATGAAATGGTTTCTCTTTTTTGATTTTACAATACAGCAAATAATATAATTACTTAATTGTTTACTAAAAATCACTGCAAAAGGATAAATAATCTTACTTTGTTCCTGATGATTACTGGGATACATGTTTATTATTTGTTCATCAGAGGTCTTTAGAACCCTATTTTCATCCTCCTCCTGTGTCACAAGAGAAATAAAGACATAACAATATAAAAAAAAGTGTAACATATATATAATTTATACTTACAAAAGTCAGTATCTGGTTTGCTGGCATCAGTTGCAGATGCAGGGATGTTGACCATTGACACAGAAATGTCAGATGCTGGTTCATTGGAACTGTATGTAGCAGTATCATCAGTTTCTGTCACAGGTATACTATCCTTCTGTATACTGGATACAAGATCATTTGGAGAGTCCTTTACATTTGTAGTATTTCTCCAGGGATATGGACCATTTCCATAGCAGTATAACAATTCCTCCCTTGGATGTATATCTCTGATGGCATAGAAGAAAATATGGGGCTCTCCACAAATCGGAACCATCTTTGGTTTCAGGTTTGGCTTTCTGTCATCATTTATCAGACGGCCTAGTGATCCATCATCATGCGTTGCAGCTAACCTGTGAAAAAAAAGTTGGCATACCGCTAAAACTTTGTCATGTTTTGATTTCTCATTATAAATTTATTGAAAATCAGAAATGTTATTTGTAAAATTATCCCACTTCGCTGAGAAACCATGAACAAACAGATTTTATGCTCAAGTGAGTGAGTGTTCCAGGTATGTTGGACATTGTTTTTGACAGGAAAATCATGCAAACATTACCCGAATAGAAGCATTTTTTTAAGCATTTTTAGACCCTAAGTTGAGGGTACTCATATTACACAAGTGTGCACATTACATGATTTTTTTACTGCTGAGGTCGGAATGGGGGATGAGCTTATTACCGGACATCCCCCCCCCCAAATGTTGGTAAAAAAAAGGGGGTGGGCTTATTACTGAGCATGGGCCTATTGGCGGACAAATATGGTAGTGAAAAATATTAATACACGGCAAGAGGTTTTTTGTGTTACCGTAAATATTCGCATAGAGTGCGCACTTGCGTATAGTGCGCAGGTACTTTTTGGAGATCAGATTTTAAAAAAAATATTCTACAGAAAAATTAATTGACTGGTCACTGCGATGAAACATTTGATGTGGTCTGATCCATTGATAATTAGGAAACCACAATGAGGGTGACCCTAACACATGTAATTACCTTAAGTAAACAAATTTACCCAGGTGACCTAACAAGCATGAAAGGCTTGGCTGATTGTATAATTAATGGTTAATGACAGTTAACACGTTGAGTATGAGGAGACTGATGACATCCGGCTTGGGCTGAACGCGTACTATTGTATGCAATCGCCGAGATGGTAATTATTTACTGAAGATCACTGATTTAAAATGAAGACTTACAACAGGTTGTAGTATAGTGAAATCACTGTCAAATAACCACATTGGCAGGGTTTTTGCCAGCTATTTTGGGAAAGGGACCCTGAGCAAAAATTGGGAAAATATCATCGGCATTTACCACAAATTGGGAAAATATCATTGGTATTTCATAAATTTTGGGAAAATACTAGTAAGTTTCACCAAATCCTATGAATCCTTCACCAAAATCTTTTTTGTGTAGTATTTAGAATTATGTGACAATACCATTAAAAAACATGTCAATGTACCGTAAACGCTTTGCATTCAAGTCCTTATACAACGTGCAATTCAAACGCATATATGATTTGACTTCCCAGCGCACGCTTACCAATATACGTGTGTACATTTGTGTGGTCGACATGATTAGGCCTAATGACTGAAAACTCGTAATAACTGTTAGCATGATATTTTAAGGTTTTCTTGTTTTAATTCAAATTGGGAAAATACAGATTGAAATTGGGAATGGGTCCGGTACTATAGATGCCTGGCAAAAACTCTGATTGGGGTCTCTAAAATGTAGACACCAGGGTCTCCGATCTAATTAAAGCTGGTGAACACGACAAATTATTTCCATATATTATGATATAATTAAAGTCACCCTTTTAATGCTAGCCAAGGCACGGTCCCTTATTTCCGTCAGGACAGAGTTCTTACATTCATCAATACCAGAACTTTATGAAGAGTCGATAGAACATTAGAATAATTTGGAACTAGTAGTATGTAAGATGTGAATGTCATTGGTAGTCAAGTTTTACAATACAAGTATAAATGACCTTGACCCACTTTTAAGGTCACAATAATTAAATATGTTAAATCTGTAAACATCCTTTTCTAATTTATATAACCAAATGTCTCAAAGTGCTAATATTAGCGTAGTTCTTACTGTGAAGGGCAAATAAGCCCTAGTGGTGAAAAGCATTCTGCCTATTAAGCAGATGATTCGAGAACAGATTTCAACTTAAATACGACACCTATATAAGTTGTACTGAACAACGCAAACTATATTATAAGAATCTATTCTTGAATTCTGTCATGTTAAAACAGTGTGTAGTGACACTAACTTGCTTAATTATCGTCCCAAAGTGAAACAAAACAAAAACATGGGTGCCACCATTTTGTATGCTGGGGTGAGACTAAAAACAAGATCTGGGGTGGAATCTAGACAGAGCATGCAGTACGGAAATTACTGATTAAAGACAAAGAAAAACAAGAGCATGTGGATCTCTTAAAAATTTCAAAACTAGGAAAGTTTACCTGTAATTAACATTACGGAACTATAATGGGGCCATTTATTTTCAGAAACCTTTGAAATGATTACAGTACGAGTACTCGGTCAATATAAAAACATAGGAATTTTTTCCGGCCAATATAAAAACAGAAATTGAAAAAAATTACTTTGTTTTGGCTTTAATAAGTAATTTTTAATTTTCCCAATTTCCTGAAAATGCTGCTTTAAAAAAAAAACTGCACTAACACTACCTATGTAAATGTTCTGTTGGGCACTTGGATGGATTTTGTTCTTAATATGCAATGGTCTACCTGCAAACTATGCCCAGCTGAAATTAGGACACCATGCAATAAACCAGGATGCTATCTTACATACCAGTACTGTTTGCCTTTGAAGACACATTCAAAAATATATGTGTCATCCTCACTTTGATGTGGTTCATCTGTCCTTATGACACCACAATACTCCAGCACAGTGTCCCCTTTTGGTATATATTTTTTTGCCAGCACACCTTTACCTATGGGAAAAGATTACATTTTGATATTAAATTCTGCATATTTAATTTGTCAACTATAATCTTAACACACAATATCTAATGACTGATGCTAGCTCAAATAAATCTCAGTCTGAATACATAATATATAAGTTTAACACAAATTAATCAGAATTGTATAATGAATTAATTAGATGATGATGTGACATATGTAAATAATGTACTGTCCTGAACACTATAAGTGAGATTTATAAGCACTAGGATCGGCAGTTAAATTTCTTATTTACTACATCATTAATACCATCAAGTCCTTGTGCAGTTGTAAATCATTACTCTACTCTTCTATTCTGTAGTTTTAGCAAAAAATTATTCTTGAAGTAAATCGACATGCATGAAAAAGAAATAAAATATATATTAAACACTTTTCTTTTTATGTCTGACAATATATTTAATGATCCTTTTAAATTGTTCTGAATGGATTTTCAATACAAAAGATGCTATACCTTTTTTTGGTATATTTACAATGATGAAGTCATCAAGTGGCCTTGTCTTTGGACCATTACTCTTTTTCTGAAAAGAAAATATATTACACAATTATAAAAATCTGTTAAGATTTCAAGAAAAATCTCTCAAAAATGGGGCTATACAGAAATTGATGGTTAAAAAAATTAGGGCTGTCATGAGTTCCCGGACACGGGTCGGGTTTGAACAGTGACCTGTTTCAAAAATGTCTACCCGAGTACACGTCAAAATAGGAAATATTGGTCTTATGTCAATGTTACCAGTAAAACTTTATTAAATCAATAAAATTTCTTACTCTGATGACATTACAATTTCTGTATCCAATATGTTCACACGCAACAATGTATTACTAATGTTTATACTCACACTTGTATTTCATTACAGAAACCGTCACCTCTGGCTCAAGCAGCCATGTGTACTTGAAACCTTAATCATGGTCGTATACATGTATAAAACTAGCTAGAGACTTTCCGGATCAGAATTGTCATGGGACTGCTACTTTCTGTTGGGCATATTATATGCAAATTGATTTCTTCATATTCTGTCACAACGTTAGCATTATAGAGCCTAATCCTCTCGTTTACAGGATGAAGTTTTGCAATGAGTAAATACTGAAATATCAGCAAGGAAGCATACGATTCCAAATGATTTTATTATACCCCCCCCCCCCCCCCCTCCCCCTTATATGAGACTGTATCAAGCCCCACACTACACGTAGGTAAATTTGTCCTCTCTGTGCATGTAACACTGTATGCATGTAGACTAACGACTCATGACCATTGTTGGTTACGGGTCAGGTATTGAAATTCGAGTACTCGGGGCCAACATTTTGTACCCGTGACAGCCTTAAAAAAAATCTAATAGCACTAGGAACAAAGCTATGTTCTCCTACAAACTTCCTTTTGTTCTTATACAAATTACATTCTGCTCAACAAATTTCATGCAAAACAAGTAGATACCAGACATTACAATACACTATCACTTCTAACCTTGTAAAATTGATGGAGTTTCTTTTTGTGATATTTTATTTATCAATTGCAGGAAGTAGTCATAGTATTATAATAAGAGTGGACCAGTATTCAGACCCAGAATTCAGGAATACATGATTTTTTTTTCTTTCCTTTTTTCAATACAGCTGGAGATAAGTTACATGTATAATGAATTTTGACAAGTTAAATGTGTTCTCTCCTGGCTGCTTTACCAGACAATATGTTGGACACAGATTAAACTACTGCAGTTTAGCATTATACATGCATGCATCAGGTGCAATTTCAAAATTGCAGTGGGGGAAGTAAAAAGTCCTCATCATACATTGATATATAATATATTACAGTCAGCCCACTCAACCCAGACACTAGGGCACTGGCTTAGAATTATATAAACAAAGGAGGTGTGAACCACCTGTAATCGGCCTAACCCCTTAATTAAGGCAAGAGTAGTCTGAAGGGTTCTGACTATCTCACCACGATTTTATTTTTGACATGGTCGCGGTCAATAGTTAGAGTATTCTTCCTTACAAAAAAAACGCGAACTGCAAGGGTCGGCGTTCAAGCAATATTTTAGATAATTTATGACAACGCGATATTTATAAATTATACGTCGATTGAAAGATAAAACATTTTTCTACCTACAGTGTACGTGCATATGTATCAAAACAATTAGATGTTGTAAACTATGTACACTTACTTCCACTTATTTTATTATTTGGAATGACCGTCACTATGCGGAATCTCTCCAGATTTGTGCTTGTAAACATAGCAAAAATAAATGAGCGGGAATGTCAAGTTACAATGACAAATCTAGAGAGATCCCGCACAGAGGCGGCCATTATAAGCAAGTGGGAAATAAAGTTGTTGAATCAAGCTATTTTTAACAAAGTTAATTCAGTTTTAAATGTTGGAAAGCTATATAATTTTTCATGGGGGCTAGCTACCGTTGTTAAGATAAAATGTGACAGATAACTTACCTCTGTTAAAGAACGCAGTCTTTTCGTAAGAGGCATAGCGCCTCACTCCTCGGAGAGGCGCAGCCGATGTCAGCTTATGTATTGTTAAGAAAAAGAACACGGAATCTGACGAAACGAAATGTACTTATCTAGCTCGAAAGATATAACTTGTCTCAAGATTAAAATATTGGAATGCCATGTTTATTTCGGTATATGCATATTGCTGTCCGTATACTTCTATTACAGTAAGAGTAAGCGAGAAAAAAGGTTGCGCGTCGCTTCTTTTAAAATTGTAATTTTATACGCACCCAAAAGTTTTCCCCGCCAAGTGTGTACGAAGTTTAATGAAAGTTAAACACACCATCGATATTTTTGTGTGAAGAGCATCACACACTGTCCAATTTTGGGACAAAGAAAGGACGGGCTTTTTTGTAAAAAAAATGAAAATTTATTGCTGAATAAGGAAAATTAGGAGGTGGAAAAGAGAGGACCTCCAAAATGTCCTCCCTTTACGAAAGGTCCTTTCTTTGTTGGTGTTGATTCTAATGAAAGTCCTCTGTTTCCCCCTTTACAAACGCACACACACACACACACACACACACACACACACACACACACACACACACACACACACACACACACACACACACACACACACACACACACACACACACACACACACACACACACACACACACACACACACACACACACACACACACACACACACACACACACACACACACACACACACACACACACACACACACACACACACACACACACACACACACACACACACACACACACACACACACACACACACACACACACACACACACACACACACACACACACACACACACACACACACACACACACACACACACACACACACACACACACACACACACACACACACACACACACACACACACACACACACACACACACACACACACACACACACACACACACACACACACACACACACACACACACACACACACACACACACACACACACACACACACACACACACACACACACACACACACACACACACACACACACACACACACACACACACACACACACACACACACACACACACACACACACACACACACACACACACACACACACACACACACACACACACACACACACACACACACACACACACACACACACACACACACACACACACACACACACACACACACACACACACACACACACACACACACACACACACACACACACACACACACACACACACACACACACACACACACACACACACACACACACACACACACACACACACACACACACACACACACACACACACACACACACACACACACACACACACACACACACACACACACACACACACACACACACACACACACACACACACACACACACACACACACACACACACACACACACACACACACACACACACACACACACACACACACACACACACACACACACACACACACACACACACACACACACACACACACACACACACACACACACACACACACACACACACACACACACACACACACACACACACACACACACACACACACACACACACACACACACACACACACACACACACACACACACACACACACACACACACACACACACACACACACACACACACACACACACACACACACACACACACACACACACACACACACACACACACACACACACACGCACGCACGCACACACGCACGCACACACACATACGCACGCACGCACGCACACACACACACACACACACATACTTACATAAGGTCGCTTTCGAGGTCCCAGACTCCATTCGATACAACCGAGTACCACCATTTCTAATGTAAATATGCAAATTGTTGTCGCTTATGGCGTTCATTGGGTGTGTTTTGTATCAATAAATGACAACCTTCTTGTTTTAAATCATTTCTCCTTAATACAGGAACCAATTCAAAACACACAAAAATCCCGACATCCGAGACACCGACTAAAAGTGTGTTTCAGTCTGAGATCCGGTTAGTCTGGGTATCAAATCGAGATCCAGGCCGTCATTCGTGCAGAACTAATCAAATTATTGCTAAAGAATTCAATGAACAAGTCTTTTATTTCACAGAGTTGACCATGATTTCTTTAAGCGGAATACATTAATTACTTTGTCAATGAGTTCAGGAATTTAATTCAAATAAATATGTGAAAGCACATATAAGAATCTTCCCCTCCTACCTCGTGGAATCAAAAAAAGATGATTATTAACTGCTGTTGAAAAACATGTCCTTTAGTGAGATTGTCAAGCATAATTGTTAACAATAAACAATGTTTATTCAATTATTAAATCATCATTAAAATTATTTAATATTGCTAAAATACCAAAATTGCTGCCGTCATAATGCTCCCTTTCATATTAGTAGTATTACGTCATGAACAAACTTTAGAGTAAAAATGTATTTGAAGTAAATAAACGTTCTTTAAACCAGGTTTGTGTAATTAGTAATGGACATTGTACTGTGGAAACTATTATCACGGTTTAACAAAAACTATTGATATCAACCCGGCCAAAAGTTATTCACCGCACCTGGATTTTTTTATGGAATTAACGTGAAAATCAGATGATAGTTCGCACTTGCATTTGCGGCTTCGATGATTTGACGAAACATACGATTTCAAGAGATTTATTTCATCATCACTGTATTTGCAAGGGATTACGAAATGTTTCAAATTTTCATTGAAAAAAATGTATTTGAAAATTTAAATTCAAATTAATGGTAGTCATCAAAGCAAATAATTGTTTCAATCATTATTGCATAATGTCTAGATGCCGATTCAAATTTAATTTTGATATCGTTTTTGTCTCAATAGTCGAGGCAGGCGAGACTAAGGTGTTACTTTTCCGGCGGCGGCGACTGCGTCAACATTTGCGTTAAAGTCCACTTTTCACAGTCTTATAGTTATCCGATTTGATTCAAACTTGGTCACATTATTCATACAACTGTACTTATCACCTGTCCCTAACACAAAGGAAATTGATTGACAGGTTTTGGTATTTGTGAGGATTTGTGTTAAACTCCACTTTTTACACTATTCTTGATATCCGACCGCGTTAAAGCTTGTGCACACTAGTACTACTGATACCATCATACTGAACACCTACCCTCAATTTACAGGAAATTGTTTTACAGGTTCAGATATTTTGGGGTAAAAACATGTGATTTTTGAGAATTTATGTTAGACTCCACTTCTGACAGTGTTATTGATATCAACAACGATGTTTCAGACTATCAAACAACTATCAAAAGGATTGGTGCCTAAATCTTATAATTATATTGCTGTACTATGAGAATTTATTGACATATCAGTTGTTCAAGGCCAGGTCCGGCCCATTACTGGACCAAGTTAGGCTCATAATCACATGAAAAGTCGTAAAATTGGCAGAGAAATCTGACGTTGCGTGATGTATTACGTCATCACCATGCTGATCCCTATCCAGCGGTAGGAATAATTCTATTTGCACTCGCTCCAGTCGTACTCGGCTCCAATTTCGTCATATTCCTCGACTTGCTGACTTTGTATAATGAATATCTTATCCATTCTGAATTAGTAAATTTCATTATGAATAATTCTCAGTAAACATAAGAGATTCACTAGCTGCTCTCTTATAAGGCTTTGTCTTTTTCATACCAAAACATTCATTTCATAAACTTATCTATTTTAAATAATTGGAATCTTATCTCATACTGTCTCTTTTAACTAAGGATACGCTCTGTTAAGGTTCAGTTGCCTTTTCATATTATTTTTGATACACGATTTATATCTTTTGGTGTCTATTGTAACATTTTCATTGCGATCCATCTGAATGAGTATTGTTTTCAGCAACAACGAACATGTTTTTCTTGGAGAGTGAGCTAACCGCTTTTCCACCAGTCCCGTTTTATACGAACATTAAGTTCGTTTTATAGAATCAAGAATCACACATTTAAGTATTAAATGTCGTCTTTTCGCCTTCCGGTCGACATGCGTAAATGAACGGACGCCGTTTGCAGATTGGAAGTTAAAACAAAGGTGTTTATTTTTATATTTGTTTTTATTGATGTTTTGTTTGTGATATTACAGTAGGACTAGCAATATTTAATATGCATTTCTTGTGCACTATGAAGACTTTGCATCTGTATAGGCCTACCATGTTTCACAAAGAGAAGTCAATATTGAAACTAAATCCTTCTCATCTTAAGTTAGATATACACAGCGGTAAGGGGTGTACCTGAAGGAAAATAAGTTAAGTTTACGCTAATATACTGGAGGTAAACCGCAAGGGGTCCGGAATAACGCTGCGGCAGGGTCTCGGGAGGTGAAGGAGAGAATATCCTCATCTGTTACCTTATATAGGTTGTTCTCGTTCGTCCGGCCGGCCGTCCTTCAGTCAGTTAATCAGTCGCAATCTCAACCTGGGCTAGAATTTCAGTTTTTATTGTTCCGTATTTAAAATGAGAATCTTGTGTACCAATGTTGATAATATCCTGGTGTCAACGATGTCATATGACGTTGACCCACCACTTTAAGGGTAATTGATAAAAACATTAGAAACGCTAACTTTGTATAATTTCCGAACTATACATTTGTCGTGCGACATGTAAGATATATATCCTGTCAATGTTAATCTGATCTTATACTTGACAGTCGTATAATAAAAACTTGTAATAGATCCTTAAGCTGTTTACTTTCCTTCGTACACACATAGATTAGTAGGTATAAACACACTATCTAACACTTGATGCAACCAAAGATCATTTCAATATATCAATCAGTCATCATTTACTCGAACGACGGGAATTTTATTTTGTCATGCTGTATCCAAAAAAATAAGCCAATGAAACGTATGTGAATACGCATAGCAGAAATTGCTTTTGCGGGTCCACAAAAAAGCAGTTCAGTGAAATCAGTTGACTAAAGAACCGATACTGTGCAGTTAGCTGTCAAATTCGCAACACTTTGGCTAAATGACTTCAATACTAGGCAGTCATGGAGACATGTAAGATGTTTACATCTTTGGTGGATATTGAAATAGCGTCAG